ACAAATTGACAGATTTACGATAGTCAATAGTCAAATACTAATGATTCTAATGAAATACTTTTTGTGACAATTACTGTTGGCCATTAAAGAATTCCCTGCCTTTGCATTGTAGTACCTCAGGTCAGGTGTTAAATAGGTACCTTTTGTATAGTGTACAAGATGTTAGTATATTCGACCGACAACGCTCTACCCCAGAGAGCTCTCGTTAATTGATGAATTTTGATATAAGCACATGAACCCTTAAAGGGTTTAGTTACTCAAATTAATCAAAATATAGTATCTAGTTAAATAACAACAAACATTTTGGTATGACAAGGTAATGGCCTTAAAACATAATATGTACGTTACCTACTTCAAGTAGTGGCCATTCATTGGGGTCTGGCATTGACAAGTCATTTTGTCACAATGAGCCGCAGTTGGCCGTCGTCACTTTACCATTACTAAGTAGCGAAAGATCTTTACACAGCCAACAGTTTCCGATAAAATTAATGTTTGCATTTAAATAAGACATGATAGTGGGCATTTAAAGACATTTGATTTTTATTTTTTATATTTCAAAATAGTACGAAAATCTGAATCTAATGATGTGGTTTTATTTTTTGCGTTGATGATTTTACTACTAAAATTTTAAGTTCAAATTGCTATTTTTCAACATTTTATGAGGGCCATGTTCACATGTGAGATATGCTGTTTTATAAATTATATTGTAATAGTTAGTCGCTATACAAGTTATTCTAAATAATCAGTTCTTTAAAAAAGCCAAAAGTTTTTAAATTAGGCCCAATTGAAATTTAAAATTTGAAATTATACGTCATCGGGAATAGACCAAGTTTTTTTTGTTATACAAAACCAAGCCAACGAACAAACCGACACACAGAATGTCGAAGTGAACGCACCTCTAAGTGACATTAAAATTGACAATTGACATCACCTAACCTAACATTAGTTTTTACAGCTGGATTTATAAAAGTTGAATCAAGTATTTTATCCATTGTAAACCAAAATATGATTACCGAGATGATTACTGCATTTTTTAACAATACTCAGTTACAAAAGACAGTAGTAGGTAGTTACAGTTTATATGGATCAATACACCTTATAGTAAAACATAATATATCATGTTTACCTCAAAAATTAAAACTAAATAATATCTAAAAATGTATTTAGAAGGGTAGGGTGCAAGTATTTACTGCAATACGGTTTTTATTTGGTTGAAAATTACCTACTTGCTACATATCATTGTAAATAATATTGTAATTGAAGTACATTTTTGTATATGCATATCTACTTTTTGTAATGGTACATACACTCTTTTATTATGTTTATGTTTTATGAAATAATTTAAAACACAGAAAAATAATAAAAATTAGTAAAAATATCTAATAATTAGGCCAAATATTTAGAGTAGGGCTCTTGAAAATACTAAAAAAATTAATCTTTATTAAATAATGTTTTATTTTTAGATCTGCCAAGCAAAATTATGGAGATAATTACTTTCTCCATGTACAACTTAAGAGAGAAGGAGATATTTGCACATTAAAAGGACAAATTACACCTAAACATGAGGTAGGGCAAAAACCTTATGATGTGATTGTTGTAATTAACAAAAATGAAATTTTTAGTACACAATGCTTAGGATATGCTGCATCTCAAGGTTTGTAATATTTATTATGCTTTTTTGTTTTTATATCACATATAATAAACAGTGTATAAGGCCCTTTATTCCTATAAATATTTTTTTCTAATTTTGACATATAAAGAGACATTTTTTGTAATCGCAGCAAGTGTTAAAATAATCTAGAAATAGATTTTGTTAGTGAACCTAGTAATAATTATGATACCAAAGAATGCTGCCTATGAAATTTTGAGTTAAAACATATGCCATATTTTTAGGCTATTTTTATACCCTTTTCAAAAATTTTATGTTCCTCGTTTTCTGCAAAACTCAAAATGCTCTGATAGCTTCAAACGAAGTCAGCAGAGCACCTCTGTTTTATAAAGTTTTTTTCTTTAAAAACAGCAACACCTTATTTTTATGCACTTGAAATATCATTAAAAAAAATGATATTTTAAAAAATACATGGTGCTTCCTAACCTTCTAAAGAAGCCAGTTGAGCAATTCGGTTTTTTAAAGCTTTTTTCTAAAAACCACACCCCATTTTTAGAGAAATATTGTAAAAAATTGCTATTTTTAAATAATACAGGGTGCTTTGTTGGAACAAAGTCAGCAGGACACTTCAGTTTTTTAATTTGTTTTTTTTTTATATATAAAAACAACTACTTATGACACATGTTTAGGCTGTTTTAAAATCCTAAAAATGTGTTAAGTATATTTGTTTTCAGAAAAAAACTTTGAAGTCAACAAGGAATTGCGAATTTTTTTAAAAATGCCAAATTTCGAATATTTTATATTTTAGGAGCCAAAAAACGTAGTGTGGTTTAAAAAAAAAACTGGACTGCTCTGCTGCATTCGTTTGAAGCTAACAAAGCATCCCGTAATTTTTTATTTTATAATACTCAATAGCCTAAGAATAGCCTAAAATGAGACATAGCTGTTTAAACAAAAAATTGTACTTTTAAAAATAGCAGTTTTTTTCCAAAAAAGCTCTATATTTCAAAAATGTGAAAATGTGGTGAGATTGTTTTTTTTTAAGTTTTGAAAATCCGAGGTTCTTTATTGGATTCGTTCAGAGCTAGTAAAGCTCTGCTCGTCTTGTTACATAGAATAAGGCATTTTGTAGCTGGTTATATAGTTAGTTTGTAACTCCATATCTAACCCTTTTATTTTTTTCAGGTGGTTGTAAACATGTGGCTTCATAGAAAAAGTGAGGAACCATCTGTAACATCTACTCAGTGTTATTGGAAAGGCTCTAATTTATCAAAATGCGTAAATATTGATGTACACTTGGCTAGATTGTTAAAGAAACCTCTTCATCCACTACAGGAAAATAAATCAGTACTTTTATATTCTTAGGATTTGTATATATATTTTTTATTTGTAAATAAATTGTTTTTTACTTCATTTTTCTCATTTTTTATTAAAAGGTTAATAAACAAAATTTTCACAGATTTTTATATTTTTGTTCGTAAACAATAATTGAAGAGTTTTTATTAAAAATCACCAATGTTAATAATAATAACTTAAGTTAATATTATTCTTTCTCCTTTTTTAAAGCTACTATCAATAGCTTGACCTATAATCAATTTTTAATTTTGTGATATATTTGGTTTGACAGAAAAAAATTATAACCCTTTGACATTGGTTGTTTTTACTTAGATTTTCATAAAAAATAAACGGAACTGCAAACATGTTTTACTATCGTAATAACGAATAGCAACATTAAATTTTTTTTCACATTTATCACTGTTGTTATTTTCGTAAAGGATTGATAAGAAGGCACACTTTCTGGTTTTTTGAAAAAGGTGGCAAGAATTGTGATATTTATAAATTTATCACCAGTGATACCACATGTAGTTACCCGATTTATTGGAATATATAGACTTTGCTACCACATTCAACTGAACTTGGTTGTTTTTAATTTTTATCACTGTGACATAGGCGTTTTTGTTAAAATTTTTCATTTTAAACTGCTGTAAATAGGTGCCTTTGGTTTGGTAGTTTTAGTCCCAAAAAATCTATGCATATACAGGTACTCAATAAAAAAAGTTTATTAAATTAATATTTACTCTTACAAAATAGGTTCTTGTAAGTTAACAAGCAATTATGCAGATATTACTAAGTAAATGTACTTGCTTAAAATTCACACAGGAATGTGGTTTTAACATGTGAAATTCCCTAACCCTTCTTATAACTCTTTCCACATGTATTCTTAGAGATGCTATTCATTTACTTAATTGTACATCTTCTGGAGCACTTCTTTCATTCTGTGATACACTAGGTGGCCTTACTTAAGTGCATCCCATGTTTTTAAGTAATGACTGAATATTCTTAAACCCCCTATCTGCCATTATATGGGATCCAGGAACCAGTTTGTTTAAATACCCACTTTAGGTTATACACCTAAGAATTTATAGTAGCCTCATTTTGAATTTCCTGAAGGAGACAATTAGCAGAAATTGCTGTTACATCTTGAATATCCGGTGAATTTTTATTAAAAAGTTGACGAGAAACATCGCTAGTAGAAGGTTGATTTTCTTCTTTCCAAATTTCTAGGAACACTAATGAATATTTTTGAAGATGAATGTGAATCATTATCACATTCTGGAACAAAATACTTTTTCGTAGTCATAATATTTATTTATAAAAAGTACAAAATAAACACTCAAATTCCAAATAAATTATTGATCGAGACACTATGACAGATGACATACAGTGCTGCCGTTTTGCCATTTTCTGAATTATTAAGTGACTTTTAAAATAATGAAACTTTAAATGTGGTAAAAGTTTAAACAGAAACAATACTTTCAAAAAACATTTGATATTATATATTTACAAGATATTTGTTAAACGATGTTTTAGAAGTCTAAAAGTAAGAAGGAGTACACAAACGAACGTACATCACTTCTTGTAAACCTTCTAACCGGCAACGTTGTAGCGCTAGCTCCTATTGGTCTATTCCCGGTGACGTCAAAAATTTTAAAAAATTCATAACTCTGTCAAATGAATAGATAAAAAAAAAATTTAAAAAAATGTTTCTCTATTTTCATCTCTATTATTCATAAAAAAAATTCAAAATTTTTGAACATGCCCCATTGTAACGGACGGGATTTTGTTAATTTTTGCTTTTTTTAATCCTAATGTATACATCGTATCTGTTACGTAAAGAACTGTTTGATAACTGCATCATTACATTTAACAATAGAACAAGGAACATAGTAACAAATTGTAAGTATTTACAATATTTGACATACAGATATAATAAAGTAAAGATTTATTTTATTATTTTTTTTTTTTTAGATGCATAATGATCCCTTTTAACTAGTGAAACAATGGTTAAACGATAAATTTTAAGTATAACAAATATAATGATAAGAATGGTATGCATTTTAAATTAGTATAAATTTTTTAAGTTACACTGACATATTATATTACCTCTCTTAATATTAGAAACATGTCGATTTCCGGTAAATATGTTAGTGTTGGTGAAGAAGGCTTTTTGGATTTACTGGCAAAAGAAGGTAAGTACATGCACTTCAAATAAAATTCGAAATTATTATAGAGCTAGACTTAAGGTCATACCTCATACATAGTTTGAGTTTATTAATTATTCTAAAGCTTTTACAGGGTGTTTCATTGGTAAATGGCCATATGTTAACAGCGTATAGGGGTCACCTAGGTGGTTTAAAAATACCCATACTGCATGGGTCTGTCGCCCTTTATAAACGAGATAGAGGGAGTTTTACCAATTTTGCCGATTTCTTTCTAGGCTCATTACTTTTGCACCACGCTGTATATTTTTTTGCCATTTAGTGTACATTTGACCCAAATTAATAAGTAAGAAAACTGTATGGGAAAATACCAAAACCACTTACTGTAACTCAAATGTTTTTGCTCTTTTCGAATATGTACACAGATTTTCAAAATTATGATATACAGAATATTGTTTAAGGTATCGAAGAATTTGTCAATTTTTTGTTAATCCGAAGCTGGATTTTCCCTATTATTAATACTTCACTGTATTTGACAAATTAAGTTGTATATGTACACCAAATACAATGTGCTTCAAAAGTTATGTGCCTAGAAAGAAATCTGCAAAATTGATATCTCGGTTATAAAGGGCGACAGACCCATGAAGTATGGGTTTTTTTTGGAACCATCTAGGTGACCCCTATATGCAGTTAACGTATGCCCATTTATCAGTGAAACACCCTGTATAGCGATATACATTTACAACATGAACGTAATCTGATTTTTACAGTATCCGATTCAAATTTTAAATTAATATCAGAACCAGATATTATCTTTAAATTTTAATATTTTTTTCAGGAATGCCAGCTGACAAACTAGCAGAAATGAAACAAAATAGAAATGAGAAGCACTTGTACAATATTAAGTTGGACGGGGATAAAATTATCATGAAACATACAATGGGAGATAAGCCTGATTCCAGAAAAATGGAATACATTCTTGGTCAAACAGTCGAAGAAAAAATAGGAATGGGTGGTAAAACGGTACAGGTATAGAATATTTTTGCAATGATTATGGTTAATAGTTCTAAATTAGCCAACGTTCTTTATAAGAAAATTAAACGTAAAAAAAATCCAAAAATAATTTTATTTGCTAGTTTAAATTGATTTTAGTTAAAAATTTTGGATTTCAACCTACAACTGTTTCATATTTGAATGATAATGCGTCAGTATGTTACGATTAATTAGTTCTAAACTCTTCCAGTAACTTCTGACATTGTTTGGTAATTTGTTTAGAAATGCTAATATTGCACTCACATACTTTGATTACTATACGAGGCAACTGCGTCGGCACTTTTTATCTCAATGTTCCAGCTTATACACTGCGCAACTCAGATAATACAATATATGACAACCGCATATAATAAAACAGCAGTCTTCTGCGTATTCTGAATTTGTATCCCTGGAGTGGATGTTATTTTGGAACTTTCAACTGGTCCGAGTGAGCTAACTGATTCTTTAGCAATAAACTGTGATTTCAAAAATAATATTCACTGACACTGACAGCAGCAAGCAAAATATCAGGTGCGTTTTAATCATCCGCTTCTACTTCCGGAATTGTCGGTTCAGTCGTTCTAACCTGTCAGATTAAAACAAGAAAACCGACAATTCCGAAGCAGAAGCGGATGATTAAAACGCACCTATTAAAAATATTGCGCCAAGATGTAGGCAACACGTAATAAAGGTTCAAAATGGCACTTTTGAAAGGCACTCAGAAAGCTGCGCAGTACGACCATTCTCCGTATAGTAAAAGAAAATCAAAGTATGTGATTGTACTTTAGGTAGATAACTTAAAGATATATAAAAATATAGTATATATATATATATATATATATATATATATATATATATATTCAAATTTTCAAATGGATCTTGATTCTATCACTGATTACTGCATAGCAAATAAGTTAGATTTTTTACGTAATATATCTCCAATTACGTCCAATATACACGATGTCCCTGAAAGGTCTATACAGAATGCCAGCACAAATTAATTAGACAAATATACAGGGTGGCCCATCAAAAACTTACCGCAAGGCATTACAGGGCGGAGAAGAACTTTACAGAGAAATTCCAAAACACGCCAAGTTTGTTTGTCAAGGGGACCCCTTTTGACGCAAAAAGCATAGTAAAACTTTCAACCCCCTCATCACCCCTATCATCTTTCAAATTCTTTTAAAGGGGAAAGGGGGTCAAGTGATACCTCATTAAAAGGGTCTTTACAATTTTGTGATTTAATGCTGTTATTTTCTCATTGATAATAATGTAACACTTTTACATTTAACGAATTTATTAATTTAATAAAAATACATGTGATTAAAGATATAAATAGTTTATAATCGAACTGGATGAAGTACCAAAAAAAAGCTCTCTATCTGGCTGATGTTCGATACGAAGTCGGTATTCGGGAAAGTTTCGTTCGCGCACAGCACATTTAGTCCGCGATGCTGGCGCAATTTTAAAATGTTTGATGCGTGGTAAATTTAAATTATACCGAAATTCACCAAACACAATATGTTAAACCACAAAAAACATCCAACGCTTTACTCATTTGAAATATGCTGTAATGGTACCCTCTAAGTAGGTACCTTCTACTGTTTTAAACGAATAGCAACCATCTAGAGTCGAAAACCCATATGGACGGCTTTAGATGTGTCAAGCGAATTTCATCTATCCCCGCATCAGAGCGCGGTTGTCACGACATGCTTTTGTATTTTACAGTTTTTTGACGAAACTATTTATTACATTTTTAATTTCTAAAAAGTATTTGAATCCTTGATCTTTGCTCTACAACGTTTATAGGAAGTATTTTTTGATTAGAATTTTCATTCTTGAGTTTTCACGGTGTACATACAGCGCTGCTGAGTGTTGAAAATCAAGGCACTCGTTTAAAAAATTATGGATCCTTGAAAGTTAAACAATAATGTGTGACGGAAAATGCAAAAGGCGATTCAATGCCTATCGTATTAATCAAAAAGTTGATTGTTTCCAAATTACGAGGTGTCAAACATTAATTACAAATGTTGATCATTGATTCGGGCATGAAAAGTGTCTTAAAGACAGTGAATAGCATTAACTGATCGCAATATTTTTTTATTGTAGAGCCTAGCAACATTGTCAGGTAGTATCCTAACCATTGTTTCTAGTGGTGTAGATGTTAACAGACGTTCAAGAGTTTACAAATTCAGCGATGCGGGTTTAGAAGTGGTAAGTTTAGATATTATTAATTTTAAATAAATAATAATTGAAATTGATCCATATGCCTAGCCCATGACACTTGTCTTTTATGTATGTAATATCTACTGGCCAATGGCTGTAAATACCACGTCTGCATCGTAGATAGTCATGAATTTCATGACTGACAGTTCTACGCGACGTTTTAGTATTTAGTTTGAATTTGCCTGAATAAAGATAAGTGGCGTTTGTTAAGTCGTACTTTAATTCAAAAACAGACAAATTATGCAAATAATTAAGAAAATAATTTGCCTATCATAAGTTAGATTAAATTTTTCATTTTGTTTAGTTTCATTTTACTATATTTAAATCCTACTGTATCTGGTGCCGTGGAGAAATTATAGTATATTACTCTGTTGTTAGGTATTTACGCGTTTTTTCCTTAATTTATATTAATTATTTTATATTGATATTTATTATAAGTAATTGGATGCTAGTGACCCTTAATATTTTGATCAAAACAGTTTAATTTATTTGATGCTAATATATTGGGAATCACTCGCGTCGGCGCACATCTGTGCGTTTGAAATGGACCTTTTTTGGATTTTAACAGTAGTACCGTATGAACCGCTATAATGTCCGTACTGCAAAATCGAAATATTTTGTTCTTCGGTGTTCCGCTTTACCAGAAGAAAACCTGTAGGGGTCCCTCAAGAGTTCCAGAACCCAGACATACCACTAGGTGAGTCTCCTTACAATATTGGCCTCTTCAGAATTTTTTCCTGTTATTTAAATTTAATAATTTAAACGACCACCTAATGAATTAAGGTTCCCTTGCATTCCAGAACTGAGCTATATTTAAGGGAAAAGTCACAAGTGTTTTCTACAAATCAGTATGTATACCAAATTCTTACCTAGTGATAACAGTTTAGATATTTTAAGGTACTGGACAAGAATCATAAAACTGTTTCTTCACGGTCACTACTAAATGTAGTTCTTTCGAACCCACTTATAATTACAGAAAGAAAATTCTAACCACTTGTATTTTATATATTTTACACGTATTTCATTCTAACTCAAAATACAGAATGTTTATTATGTTATATCTATTGGCCAATGGCTGAAAATACCACGCCTGCATCGTAGATAGTCATGAATTTCATGACTGACAGTTCTACGCGAAGTATTAGTATTTAGTTTAAATTTGCCTGAATAAAGATAAGCGGTGTTTGTTAAGTCGTACTTTAATTCAAAAATAGGTGAATATAATGATTCCTATATGGAATTTGGTAATTCCTCCTAAACTAACAAATTATGAAAATAATTTAAAAAATAAGTCAGATTAAATTTTTCATTTTACTATATTTAACTCCTACTGTGTCTTTGGCCGTGGAGAAAGTACAGTCTGTTTCTCTGTTGGGTTGAAAAGCCGATAATCGTGGTTATTCACGTTCGTGTTTAGAATCTTCCAGAATTTTCATTCCAACCTTGTTAGAGAATATATTATTTCATTACTATTTAAAATTAAAAGATTTATGAAATGTGGATGTAGGTTTATTGCGTTCAACTGATCCAATATATTTCATACCCATTCGAGGTAGTGAGAACACTGCAAAATACAGTACTGTCCAAAATAAACAGTACTTACGTAGTAGGACATAATTTGTCAACGACGGCCCTATTAAATTTTTTCAGATACATATGACTAAATACACCACAAACCATCAATAAATTAGAAGAGATCTTTCGAACTTTCAAAGAGATGGTCTACATGATATTTCTTGCATAAATAAAGGAATTATAAGTTCAGTGCTCTTTATTTTGGGCTATACTGTAATAGTTTGTGCAATAAGAGTGTATAATATGATGGTTATATCGCACGAAGACGAAATTTAAGCATAACGTCGTAGGCGAAGTGCTCAATCTTCTAAGTGCGATGTGGACAAGCCACTCGAGTTTTACAGAATATATTTTCTACGACCCACTAACGAAAATTTACAAGTAAAAAAAATATTTTAGGTTATTAAGACAAAATAACTAATTTTAAAATAATTTATGACTTTTAATAATTTTTAAAATAAAATGAAAAAAAAAAGACAAAAAGTTCATTTCATTTTTCCCTATCCGAGAATCGAACTCGAGTCTTCAGTGTGGAAGGCAAGAATACTAACTACAGGACCACCTATTCTTTTATTTTTGTTGCTTCAATACTCGTAAATAAACTGACTTTATATTATAGACGAATTAACAGAAATGCTAATATTTATCGATTCTTCCCAATAATAACCCATTTTAATGTATGTTTAATCTCAATAACTAAAAAATATACTGACAATTAGTTTGACAGAATTGTCACTTATTTAAAATTTTAAAAATAATAGCAGTCAGTTGATCAAAATATGAACGTAGATTGGTGGATTTCAGTTTTTTGCAGTGTTCTCGCTTCTAGGATGGATATGAAATATATTCGTTCAGATGAAGGCAATAGCATACTTTTTCATTTTGTAATCTGTGCGTAGATAAGCTAATATCTATGTGGGGGTGTAGAAAAAAATTAAATCCACCATATTTTGATTAACCAACTACTATTGTTTTTTAAAATTTTAAATAAGTGACAATTCTGTAAAACTAAATGTCAGTATATTTTTTTGTTATTAAAATTAAATATAAATTAAAATAAGTTATTCTTGTGTAGAACCCATAAATAACAGCATTTATTTCTATTTTGATTTGCTCTATAATTATAAATAATTCCTTAATTTTAATAAAACTCTATGTAGTCAATCTAATTACGAGTATTAAAGCAAACATTTTTATGGGTCTCGGTAGTGGTGAGGTCAGAGAACTTGCCTTTCATGCGAAAGGCCCGAGTGTGAATCTTTGATAGGGACAAATTAAATTAAATCTTTTTCTTTTCTTTTTTCTTGTTTATTTTATTTTATAAATTACTAAAAGTCACAAATTATTTTTAAATTAATTATTTTATCTTAACCTAAAGTAATTTTTAATATTTGTTGATTTTCGTTAGCGGATCGTAGAAAAAATATACTGTACAACTCGAGGGGATTGTCCATATCCACTCCTGTTGTACAAACTACTATTTTCTACGAGCGTGTGAAAAGTAAAAAAACCTTCACCAAGACATAATATTAACAGCTCTTAATAGGGTTGCCAACTCTCTCGGAATTCCGGGATTCTCCCGGAAAAAGACATTTCATTTTCAAAATATCCCGACTCCAGAAATGTACCTAAAATCTCCCGGATCTTTGAACTATGAATAATGAAATTGAGTGGGTTGAATTAAAAGCGTTCTTCTCTCAACATGTCTATACATGCATGAGGATAAACTGTATGATAATTCGAGAGACGCTAAAATGGTGGTTCCCACAAGGCCCACAAGGCCAAACTCGTAGCGTAACAAAAACGAGAAATGATTTAACTTGGAACGAAAGACCGAAAGCCGATAGTAGTATTAGGACGTTGAATTTTTTGGTTTGTAAAGCATTGGCATTAATTAGGTTAAACCATGTGATGATTTCTATAAGCCTGGATTTTTAAAACTATTCTATATCGCCTTTTGATTAGGGTTTACAAACTTGTTTGAGCAATTTATCCAATAATAATTGGCCCCTTTACCTCTTAAGCCTGCTCATGTAAAATATTTGGACTCCTTACTTCGCCTGTTTATAAATATTAATAAAGGACAGAAGGATGAGTATTGCAACTACTATGTTAAAAGAAATAAATTGACTTTCAGTTTAGAATTATGTTCAGTACATGACTGATATTTATTTATAAAATAAAAATGACATAGTATCATCGCATCAGATCTATTAGAAAAAATTCAATATAATTCGAAATATCACAACTAAAATACAAGAAACCAATCTGACTTTCATGTATGGCAAGCCATCACTAAAAGTTCCCAAAATACAATTTTTATTAAAGGTTTAAAAAATTTAATAGACTGCCTACAGAAATAAAAAAAAAACAATAAATGTATTCAAAAGTAACGTCAAACAATACTTGATAAATAAACAGAACGGATATACTTTCTTGTGATAATACTCTTTAAACCTGCCCTTTTTAAGTATTTCCCTTAATTTATTGTTATTTTACCCCTTGTTTTACCAGTATTTATTATAAATTATTTCTATTTTGAGATCATTTACTTTATTTTAAAAAATTACTTGATATTATAATAATACTACTTACTATGTTTAAATTATTAATAGTTTTGTGACGATAGGTTACAGCAACTTATAGCCACAAAACTATTTTTGTGTTAAAATAGATCCATAGAGAGCAATGTAATTTACAAAGGCCTTCTTTCAACATACAAATAAATGACAACTTTATAATTAAAATAAAAAACAACAAAATACCTCGGTACCAAGGTAAGAAAATTCATTTTTAAATTTTATTTATTGAGGAAATTTTTGACTAGAAGTTTACTAATTATTATTTACAATTAGCTGGTTGAATATGTAATCCAAAATCGTATAATAAAATTTTTCTACAAAAAAAACCAGCTTTATATCCTACCTTTGCATAAGAACATTATATTATCTATCTTGCTGTACCTTTATGGAAAGCCTGAATTAAGATATACTACAAATTATTTGCAATAAATATCAAAAGAAGTATACATTTTTAAATAATTTGACATTTAAGAGCCATTCACACATCACAGTTGACATCTTGATACTTGACAGGCACAGCCAAGCATTATTCTGATTTTTGCTAAATAAAATGGCCGGTTAATTATTCTATGGGGTTGCGAGAGAGAGCCAATAAATTTGATGAAGGTGTTTTTGTGGCTAGGGGCGAAATAGTAGTACGCTTAAGTTAGCACCACCACAAAAAAGTCTTCATAATGTTAGCTCTTAATTTATATTTTTAAATTTGCGCGCCGCGCCACTGACCAACGAGCGCTGTGAATGTTTTGGTCGAGACATGCTGAGTAAGCACGAGAGTGAGTTGGCCATAAGCGGCAATCGCCGGTTGTATTCTGACAATAAAATCAGTTTAATTGAATTATCGTGCTTAAATATAATTAAAAATGAGTCTGAGTGATCAAGTTTCGATAATCAAATATTTAAACTTAACAATAAATTGGCAGGCTTGGCTACTAATTTCGAATAAAAATAGCCTCCAAAATGGCTATGATTGCAAGTATGAAGGTCGCAACCCGTCTTTGAAATTTCACCTTTACTATCAACAGCTGTTGTTTGATAGGTCGTTAGAGAATGTTTGCAATTTATGGAATTTTAAGAATGTTAGGAATGTTGACTTAGAAATAATTGAAAGAATTGAAACATAAAAATGCATATGCGGATTTAAAAAAAAATTGATTATAAAGTAGCAAGGATGAACCGAAAATTCTGAAAATCAATAGGTTTCCAAGTTAGAAGTAATTATTCAAGAAAATCAAAATTGCAAGTCAATCAGAACTTTCGTTCTAGAGTTATTGTGCCGGCATACATACATACAGACGACCAGACGAAATTTTTTTTTCCATTTTCGGACTCAGAATGATCGGAAACATGAAAAAAAGTTTTGAAAAATGGGGTAAGAAAATTTTTTCGTCTGCACGAATGCAATACTGAGGCATCATAGGAAGGGCCTTAATAATAATTAAAACAGAAGTATGTGAAGTTATTTCGAGTAAATAAATAACTAAAGTAGGCGCGTTTGGGTTAATTTTTTTGAAAAATGTGTTGATGAATCAGGCAAAGAAATAAGAAATTTTAATTCGCTCTACCTATGCCGGGCGTGTTTTCAGCATAGTTATTGAACTGGTCAAAAATTCATAATCGTCTTAATGTAACTCATGTCAAATCTAAATAGAAGTGTGCATAAATTTAAAATACATACGTAAAGAGTTTTATGATTTTATCGATAATGAAAAAGTATTTTTCTACACCCGTATTATAATAATGCACTTATATGCCCATAATCCGTTTCATAATGATACCCATTATGATACAGATTTTTCATTATGATACAGATTTTTAATCAATAGAAACCTACAATTTTTCAATCAAGCATGATGTTTGACGTTTGTCCTAAATTCCTATGTAATTGTTTTAGTTGTCAAAACGTATTAAATTTTCGTAGATAGCTAAACTTCGATAATTATAATATTAAAATGTCTGATATCAGCGATATAGAACACTCCTCCACACATATAGGAGAAAGGAGAAAATGCAGTACAAAATATTTTGCCCCAAAAATCTGTGGTAATACCAGTACCCAAGGTAATACCATTAATTACAATTTTGTAGAATTTTTTATAGAAATACGAGTAATTACTGTTATTGTGTTCAATACCAATATAAATAGAATATTTATAGGTCTTGATTATTTATCGGGTGTAGAAAAAATAGCGTATGCAACTCTCATGTAATGGTTATTAAAACACTCGCATAAACCATACGAAACTCGCCTTTGGCTCGTTTCGTATCCCGGTTAATGCTCGTGTATTAATAACCATCATTACATGATCGTTGCATAATATACTATTATCGTATCAGCAACTGTCATGCGTTATTCCCCTCCACTCCGTTACTCTAATAGGAAAAGTATGACACATCGTTGAAAAGGTAATTTTAAGGATCATTCAGAAATATGACTATTAATTGCATTACTTTTAATTTGAACGCCCTTAGCGGAATAAAAGCTATTACCCATTGTAAAGTGTGGAATTTAATTTGAAAGGTAATTTAATTAGAAATTTAATGCGTTTTTTAGTATTTCAACTCTAAAATTATTTAAATTCTTGTTTCATTAAATTTTGTTTTGTGATGTTGTAAATATAGCCCAATCGCGTTTTAACGTTGGGTGGCCGTATAACCTTGCAACGCTCATATTATTCGTATAATATATTAATTTATCGGATCGCTTTTTAGTCGGATATATCGTATTCAGTATTACAGATCAGTGATCAAATAATTCAAAATCGATGAAATATCATTCTTATTTATACAAAAATAGGTAATTTTTGAATATGTAAAACTCCCAACCCAACAAAATAAAAATAAATTTCATCCGCTCACTTCAAATATTTTGATTCGAAATGTTTCTGATTCAACTGCCGAAACGTTATTCATTATACATTATTTTTCGATTTCATTTCACGGTGAAAACGGTTAATAGAATCAAGAACATAGTTTCAAAATTAAACTGTTTTGTGAAAATCCGAACAATAACTAAATTCAAATGTGGGGAATATGTGCCGGCGGCAAATTCATACAAACGGCATTCAACTAAAAGTTTAATTTGATCGTTTTTAATTTATTAATTTAAATAACATAGAGGCAGTTCAATACATGAAATTAAGGGGATTAATTTAATTATTAGTAATATAGATTTTAGTAACTATTGTATCCCTAAAGAATCTATTCTGTCTTTAGCTTAAATTTAAGTTAAATCACAGTTTATGTTGAAGACAACTTCAACATATTTGAGTTTAAAACATATAATTTTGTATGCTACTGGCACACTGGCACTTATAAAAACTTCTCGAAAGCGTTGCGTGATTTATCGATACAAACCACAAATTGGTAGTAAACGCTGTCATGTGAGCAATATCTCGCGTATGGTTAGTTGATTCTATCAGCGTGACTAACCGCTTGACTCGTATTGAGGCGTCGTCCAGCAGAATCTTTTTCTCACCGCAAGAAACAACAACGTTCAACGACTTGAATCTCGGGCATGCCCACGCCATGTTGAAAATAGTTTTTTTTAGATATATCCTTATATTGAGGGTGTGATGCATTTTCTTAAATTGATTTTATTTTAATAGCCATAGAAAAAAGTGTAATAAGTGCAGTGATATTAAAGTTTTTACTGGATATTCAAAATTAAACGAGTTGTTAAGTAAAGCCAGTCATTTTATTCTGTACATACCTAAAGAAAAACCAGAGCTGTTTCATGCGTTCGTCAGTCAAAGGTATTTTTTAATTATGAAGAAGATGAAGTCATCAAAATCCATCAGCCTATGCTCCGTTTTTTATTTGAACTCAGGGTGGTTCCATAGATATGAAAAGGGGAGAAATAGGAACTGACACTTCAAAAAAACATTTACAAATGGAGAACTTGTCAGGATAGTACAGTAAAATGAGGTTACTTTGGCAGGTTTTGACCTATTTTGGAACTCTTAGTCAGAAAACGATTGGAAAATCAAACTTCTTAAAATTGCATCGTGCCTTGTGCCTAATTGACAATAGATCACCCAAATATGGTTCGTTTTCATAAACCGCATGTAGAAAAAGAAATTGTTTGTGAGGTTCCAAAGAAAGCAGATTTTTGGGGCTACTTTGACATCACATGCAAATCTTTTTTTCGCCAATGTAGAGGCTGTATATAGCCTTCTTTGACATCAAATATGGTAAAGGACGGAGGCACAAAAAGTCAGCTTTGAATTTGGTCCAAATATCTTTTATAGTTCTGAAGTTATTGAAGTTAGAATGAATTTCTATTTAAGAAATCATTTATTTATCCAAACCATTATAAAAGAACTAAAAAGTTATTTCTGAACGAAAATAAACAAACTCTTAAGAAGTTTAATAAGGAACATAAAAAACTAAATATTCTACAAATCATAAAGTCTTTTACAAAATAAAATCCGCATCTTTTAAATAGTCATCACTGTCAAAATCTTTGTACAGAGAGCACATTCATAATTGCATTGTTTATATTTCTTGCAAGCTGCTTGCGGTGTAAAAAAATACAACTTTACAAAAAAAAATATCGCCTCAAAAATATTGTAAAATTTCATACTTAAGAATAATCTTTAGTTATTGCAATTATTTGTTACTCTTTACTATTTTTTGTTTTTCTTTTCTACTCCGGATTTCTGATTTACAGAGTTGGCAACCCAAGCTCTCAAGCATTAAGTCAGTGTTCATCATGCCGTACCATAAGCAACCATTAAATGAACTGACCGGGTTTTTAATCAGTTTGCAAAATGTCAATAATTGTTCTTTAGCAATAAATATTATAAACAAATAATTTAATTTTATAATATTATTATTGTTATGTAATTTTTTGTTGTAAATTTCTTTCTTTCTTTCAAATTTGATTAACTTTTTATTAACCGTCAATATGCTAAACTGTCAAAGCTTAAATTCGACAGACTTCTGAAAATAGATTAGTGGTATAGCAAAGGGATCAAAATCAGTATATTTTAAAATTTAACGACGATATTTAAGGTATTTTTGTTTCAGATTCACAAATCCAGTTATGGAGAAGGAAAATTAATCTTTAAAAGACAATGATTATATATAGAATTTATTGTAAAATAGCTATTTATGAAAGCAGTTACGAAATGCCTTAGTTTAAGTAACGAGTGAATATTTGCGCGACGAGCAGAGCGAGTTCACTCAACATGAACGAATTACATAAAACGGCATTTCGTAACAGGTTTCATACTTTATTATATTTTCTAATTTTGAATAGATTATTTATAAAATGGTGTTTTGCTAAAACGGTACTAATATCTAGGCAACCAATGTTACTACTTTCTTGTATTATTAGTTGCATATGCATATGCAACTGGTGAATAATGAATTTTTAGAAACCAGTTTCATAATGATCAACATTATGCAATTGGTTGTGGTAAGTAGACTATTTTGACACTTGCTGCGATTACAAAAAATGTCACTTTATAAGTCAAAATTAGGAAAAACCCATAATTTTACTTACTTGTCTATATTATACGTTTTGTGAGTGTCACAAAATAATCATAACTAGTTTTGTGTATTTTAAATTATACAGAACGTGTTTTATATTTCTGACTGACCAGTACTAGTTATGTTGTTTTAACCAGTTATTCTTGTCTACAAAAAGGATACTTCACTTGGAATTGCATCTTCCGAAAAACTTACAAGGATTTATTTTATCTGTGCAATAAAAAATATAATAACTGAACACGTTTCTTGTTTAATAAAGAATGTAATCTGCAAATCCAAATGTCATCATTCAAGATTGTTAAGTCTTCACTTATTTAGTATATGTAAGTTTAAATGAAATATTATCATCCAGTATAAAACGTAATATTTTACTTATTTTTATTATTTTCATTACTTATACTTCGCCAAGATGGTATTGCCCTAATTGGTCAAAACCACATGGTGTGGCGAAGGATTACCTGTTAAGTGGTCACATGGAATCCTTACCGCCTCCTCTATCGTTTGAAAATATTTATTACATTCCACATCATTGTATCACGAATCCTAATAGCCCCACAACCAAACTTCGCGTTATCTTTGACGCCTCATGTAAGTCCTCTTTTGATCTCTCACTAAGTGATAGTCTTCTTACGGGACCAAAACTTCAGTCTGATATTATATCTCTGCTACTCAGAATTCGAATTCATCCCTTTGTATTTATTGCAAAAATAAAACAAATTTTTCGCCAAATTTTGATTCACGATAATCATCAAGATTATCAAGGGATTTTAAGGCGATTTTCTCCTACAGATCCTGTCCAAGATTTTAAGCTTAAAACGGTTACATATGGTGTCTTTTCTAGCCCCTTTCTCGCTATCCGAACCATTTCCTAATTGATTTCTGACGAACAAAATAATTTTTTTATTGCGGCTCCTAACCTCATGTATTTACCTTGATGATGTAATTACCGATGCTGAAACTTTGGAAAATGCACAAGCCTTGCAAGCGGAGATTATTTTGTTATTACATAAGGGTGGTTTCTCTTTACGTAAATGGGCCAATAACGACCCTAGCTTATTAATCAGTCTCCTAGTGATTGTCAAAAATCTCCTCTGTTGTTCGACACCCATAATTTTATTGTGAAAGTGTTGGGTCTTAGATGGATTCCCTCTTTTGACATGTTCTCATATATTGTTCAACCTATGTACAGAACTTGTTCTAAAAGGATTATTCTTTCTGAGATCGCCCGAACCTTTGACCCCATAGGTTTTCTATCACCTTTAACTTTTTTGCAAAGCATTTGATTCAACAACTGTGGGTTTTAAGGTTAGATTAAGATTCTGAGCCTCCTTCTAATATTGTTAGTAAATGGTGTCAGTATAAATTTGAACTACCCCAAATTTTTGCATTAAACATTCTTGGTGTTTTCCAAAGAACGTTACCTCGTGCGAACTACACGGATTTGGCGATAGCTCTGAAGAGGGATATGCTGCAGTCACACTTTTTTTTGTTTTTCGTATCAAGATGGGTCTCATAAAGTTGTTATACTTTCTAAAAAATCTAAGGTTGCTCAAAGTCCTTTCAATTCCTCGTTTAGAATTGATGGCCGCAGTTTTGTTATCTAAGTAATTTGTTATCACCTCTTATAAGGATGTTTTAACTATTAATAAAATCTTTGTTTGGTCAGACTCAATGGTAGCTCTATCCTGGAATAAGTCTCCTGCTTTTTGATGGAAAACCTTTGTAAGCCATCGAGTGGCATTTATCCAAGAGAGAGTGCCACCCTAACGTTAGTTTCATATAAGTTCCTCTGATAACCCTGCAGATTGTGCTACACGAGGCGTTCTCCCTACCGCATTTATATCTCACTAATGATTTGTTAGACCGCAATGGTTATCTTCTTCTTCTTTTTTCTTCTTTTTCTTCTTCTTCTTCTTCTTCTTCTTCTTCTTCTTCTTCTTCTTCTTCTTCTTCTTCTTCTTTTTCTTCTTCTTCTTCTTCTTCTTCTTCTTCTTTTTCTTCTTCTTCTTTTTCTTCTTCTTCTTCTTCTTCTTCTTCTTCTTCTTCTTCTTCTTCTTCTTCTTCTTCTTCTTCTTCTTCTTCTTCTTCTTCTTCTTCTTCTTCTTCTTCTTCTTCTTCTTCTTCTTCTTCTTCTTCTTCTTCTTCTTCTGAGCATTGGCCTGGGTCCTCGTTTTCTACGGTTCCTTGTCCAGAAGAAAAGTCCCTCACATTAACTACTTTTATAACTCTTTGGATATTCTTTTAGAAAAGTATTCATCTTTGAACAAAATTAAAAGAATAATTGCCTATGTCCTGCGCTTCGTCCATAATGCTCAAAGACATTTGCCCAAGCGCACTGACGCATTTTCAGCAACTGATTTGCATGAAGCCCTTTTGGTGTTAATAAAAAGAATTCAGTATACCTCTTTTTATAATGAAATTGATCAATTAAATAGTAACACCCTCTCTTAAACATTTCGAAAACTAAATCCTTTCTTAGATAAGGATGGTCTGCTTAGGGTGGGGGGTCGTCTCCAATTTTCAGGATAAAAAGTTTCCTCTCATTCTTCCTCGAAAGCATCGTCTCACAGATTTAATTATTGAATGCTTTCATAATGAACATTTTCAGCCCGGGTTCAAAACGGGCAATGCGCCATGTCTTGTGACGTTGTTTTCGTTGCTATAAAATAAAGCAGACCTCTTATGAGCCTTTTATGGGATACCTAGCCTTATCTCGTATCAATAAGATTAAACCTTTCTCAAGTGTGGGGGTCGATTGTGGAGCTTAGTTCTTTGTAACTCCTCTTAAACGTCGTGGTATTAAGATCCACAAGGCATATGTTCGTCTGTTTATTTGCCCGGCAACCAAAGCAATTTATCTGAACTTGCTAATGCCTCATTCATTGCAGCTTTTCGCAGATTTGTCGCTCGACGCGGTAGATGCTGAAAAATATTCTGCGATAATGAAACCAATTTTGTGGGAGCATCACGTGAGTTGAATCAGCTAATGAAAGATGCTTCTTTTTCACTTTTTCCCCCGTCTGGGTCGCACTTTAATGGACTTAGTGAGGCTGGGATTAAGTCGGTTAAATCTCATCTTATCCGGGTTATCGGATCTCACTTTTAAGGAATTCTATACCTTTCTAGTACAAGTTGAGGCCGTTCTATGCATTAAGCTCTGATCCCTCAGATTTGTCAGTGTTAACCCCTGGACATTTCTTAACACTTAAACCTCTTACTTCTGTCCCGAGTCCTGACCTCTCTCAAGTGAATATGAACCGCCTGGACCACTGGCAGTTGTTGCAACGCTTACAGCAGGCTCTTTGGAAACGGTGTCACGCAGAATATCTGCATACCTTCAACAGCGCCATAAATGGCTTAATAAGAGTGGACGATCTCGTTTTAATTAAAGAGACTAATACTCCTTCTCTTTGATAGAGACAAAGGCGCATTATTAGTATTCATCCCGGTTCTGATGGAATACCTAGAGTCGCAACTGTTAAAACCACTGAGGGTTTACTTGTACGACCGTAAGTAAAACTTTGTTATTTTTATGTATTAATTTTTCTCTTAAATTGATCCGTTTTAGTAAATTTTTCTTTATTTTGTATAATGTATTTTAGGAAAAATCTATGTATTTTGGTAGGGGGTATGTTAAGTCTTCACTTATTTAGTATATGTAATTTTAAATTGAATAAGATTATCCAGTACGAAACGTAATATTTCACTTATATTTATTATTCTCATTACTTATACTTCGCCAAAACGGTATTGCCCTTATTAGTCAAAGACCACATCTGTGTGGCGAAGAACGATTCTTGGATTCAAACCGTCGAACATCAGTATCTCCGCAAAACTCGTAGAGTAAAGTCATTGAGTAAAGGAATATAACGTACAGTCGAGTATTCGAGCATTGTGATAATTCGGTACAAACCCGCAAGTTACATTTCCGAACATTTAAACACCAGCCCCTAATACAGTCCACGACCCATGCAGTAGATGTGGATGCACATAGGAAGAGAAGTCTGCGTCAGGAAGCCAAGGAAAAAAACGGTAGGACCTGATTGGCGAAGCTTTAAATTTTCATCTTAACCATAACCTATTCAAAGATCTTGTTTAAATCAATCATTTTTGAATACCTAATTCATATTTACTATAAACGAATAAAGATTATTTATTTAAATAAAATTTATTTAATTTTCAACTTCATATTGTACCTTTTTTAAATTTTGGTTGCACCCTGTAATTAATTAGATAAAACTGGTGCTAATGATTCATAATTTTTATCCTCATTTTATTCGAAAGTAAGCATATTTGTATGTTTTAATATTTAACAAGAAAACTATTATACCAAGAAATGTAATAAATATTTATTTAAAAAATACACATAATATAATATAAAATAATCGTTTAAAATGTCAAAAAAAAAAGATAGTCATACTATTTTTCTAAATCCTTAGGTTCAATGTCAGGTTTTCGTATCCTTTTGTAGAAACGTTTTGCAACAGGAACGTCTTCATTATCACTGGACAATGTCTAGAAACAAGTTTAATTTCATATCAGCTGCTTTAATTAAACACAATATAAAATGATATAATTAAGAAGAATATTAGAAAACGAAAAAATGGAAAAAAAGTAGCAGTTGTGAAAGAAGAAGACTTACCATTATCATACCATCTTCAAAAAAGTCAAAATGTCGTTTTCCTCGTTCTCCCTCTGGTCCAACGGATTGAATGGTGAATTCACTAATCCCAATTGTGGTGAAACTCTAAAATCAAAAAGAAAAAAATCAAAAATAAATTATAATTCAACAACTTTTTTTTGTTTTATTTGTGTCATTGGAATCCCTAACTTTTTTATTATCGCCAGTTACAAAGAAGTGACGTTACACACATTATATAATTTTTGTTTAAATAAAAATAAAAGTTTACCTACTTTAACAACCATCAAGGCTGCCAGTTTTTCATCGACTTCTTGGTCTATTTTTAAAATTGATGTGGTTGTGGAAGTGTCCAATTTTGTCGTTATGGAAATGTCCTTTTCGTTAAGAACTATTATTATAATGGGTTTCAAGGTGTCTACGACTTTGGCTTGGTGGGATGCAAGGCCTAAAAAATATGTATTAAAAAATAGGTCGATTACAGAGGAATACGTACACGTTGAAAGTAAGTAAATTTGTCAAAGGCTTGGTATACCTACTGGTTTATACCTACATAAAAAAAACATAGACTTATGTCTATTCAAGAATACCCAGTGATTAAAATTCAACTATAATCATTATCGAAAATTTAAGGAAAACAGCATATGCATTTCTATGTTATTATACATTCGTTCATTGT